ATTTGGGGAAAAAAGAACCCTTCTACACTATGGAAATCAGTGTGGAAATTCCACAACAAGCTAGAATTGGACATCCTATTCAAGCCAGCTACTCCCTTCCTAGCTATTGTTCCAAAAGAATTGAAATCATCAGACCACAGTGATATATGTGCACCCATGTTTATAGCAGCACAGTGAATCATAGCTAAATCTTGGAAACAACCCAAATGCCCACCAACTGAGGAATGGATTAAAAAGATGTGGTATCTTTAAACAATGGAATATTACTCAGCTATAATAAATTATAAATATGTGAATTTTTCAGATAAATGCATGCAACTAGAGACTGTAATGGCAAGTGAAATAAATCAGCCCCACGTGTGCAAACATAATATTGTCTTGCTAGTACGAGAACCTGAAAAGTAAACAATATCTGAAGGAACCTCTGCACACTGTGGAAGGGAAAGAATTTGTTCAATGGCAAGGAAAAAGTCAGATGAGGAAAAGGACAAAAGAAAGAGAAAAAAATGTATTTGTCAGTATCAGGATAATTTGGATAATTGAACTGCCGATTTCTGCTGCTTTTTGGAAAAGAACAGTTAATGCTTAAATTTTTGTCCTTATTTTTTCTTTTCTTTATAATGTATTACAGTTTTTTTGGCTGGCATGATTCCAGGTCGGAACATAAAGAGGTACCAGAAATCAAACCCAGGTCCTTACATTTGTGGCCATCGTTCAATTCCTATAACTTTGCTTAATAGACTTTTATATTGTTTCTAATGCTTTCACTTTTTTCTATATTGTATCTTTTAAAACTTTTAAAATTTTTGAGGAAGAAATTTGCTTTTAAGTCTATGTTAATTCTCCATTGTTACACAATACCTTCTAATCAACTTAGAAGTAGGAAGCCAGTATTTTGGCTCACAATTTCAATGGCTTCTGTGTGTGGACAGGTGGCCCTGTTGCTCTCTAGCCTATAACTGGGGCGAAGGTGGCATATGATTCCCAGCCATGACCTGGTAGATGTTCCAGTTTTTGAAACACTTGCTCATAGTCCCAAGCTAGCAGCCATGCTGGGTCTAGAACTCAGGACCTTTCTGCTGTGAGATTATTATTATTATTATTATCATTATTATTATTATTAATTACTGCAATGTAACTAGTACAGGGTCGACAGGTTCTGTAGGGTCTCACTACATAGATCAGACTTCCAGTGATTCTCCTGTTTTCAGCCTCCCAAGCGCTGGGATACAGGCATGTGCCACCACGCCCAGCTCAATCTCTGCCTCAGCCTGCTCGGGGTCTGGCCGGCACGTCACTCCGGGAATCGCAAATCCCAGTCTTTGCGCTGGGCTTAAGCAGGTGCTTTAACTTGCTGACCTATCTGACTGGCCTCTCTCTCCTATTGAGCAGTCCCTGTCCCTCTCACCATGTCTGTTACACCTTTGGGGCCTTATATACTCTTTCGGTTTCTTACACGTGCAAGTCTGATTAACTTCACCCATCTATGAGCGTGGGCTCCACAAACAGGATTCTGTGCAATGAGGCTCGTGTTATCCCCGCCCTGCAATTTCAGAAAGGAGTTGGGCGCATGCGCGTGGTGAGGCTCTGCCCAGGTGCAGTGAGCTCAGTGATGAGAGCTCGCAAATGTCCACACGCGATGCGGCCAGCAGAGGGCAGCAGCGGGGATGAAGGGCACAAGAAGCCCAGAGGTGCTGGTGAGTGAGGCGCAGAGGCAGGCGCTCCACAGCGGATGTGAATGAATTATTGACTTCTGCATGTGTGTATTGGGACAGATCTTGCACTCTTGAGACACAAGATTTCATGTTCCAGTGCAAGAGAAAGTCAGGGAAGTAGACACAGGTGTAAAGAGAGAAATGGCCTAAGCACAAGAATACGTGAGGGAGAGATACCTAAGCATGACGCCCAATGGTGAGTTGCGGGCATTTGCTGTTAAACCTCTGCCTTCTTTCCTTCCTTCCTTCCTTCCTTCCTTCCTTCCTTCCTTCCTTCCTTCCTTCCTTCCCACGGCTGCTGCAGCACTCAGTGTGCAGCTTATTACTTCTCTGAAGCCTTCCGCCCGCACTTCCTACCTGCAGCCAGTCTTCCTTTCAGTCCAAGCTGCTCAGTCCAGGTCACTCTTCCTCCAGCGTGGTTATGCTGAATTCACCACTCTTGTCTAACATTTGTTTTTGAGATTGATCATCAGTGTGTAGACCAGGTGGTTGCATTACTACGTGCGACTGTCCAGAGGGCATCTTCCCTAGGAGGTCGCATTAGACATTTCAGACCTTGCGCCTCTGGGATGGAAATCATCATCCCCTCCCTGCTTCTTCTCTGAACCTGCAGCTCCCTCAGCAATGCCCCGAGTGGCTGAGTGGCCAGCAGAGGACAGAAGCGCCAAGAAATCCTGTGTTGGGCTCACCCCAGCCCCAGGCCAGGGGGTTCTGCTGAGTTCCTAGAGACCCAGCAGCCCCTGCCTCATTCCAGGGTGGGCAGAGATTGAGAGGGGTGAAGAGGGCACAAGTGCGCGGGGCAGAGTCCTAAGCTGGCCTGAATGTCACCTGGCAAGATAGGGTGGTAGCTGTGTGAGTGGCCTCTCCTTCTTGCTTTACAACTATCAGAACTAATCCTGAGGTCCTGCCCTAATGACTTTATGTAACCCTCATCGCCCCCACCCCCACCCCAGGCCCGACCGGTGAAAGTAAAGGCACATATTTATAATTATTAGGGATCCAAGGGGCCCTAAATCCAGCCATAAAGATGGCTTTCTGGAACAAAGAGGATGACCCTGGGACACACCCAGGTTTATTCAGTGGAGGAGTGGCTTGAGGAGGAATGACTGAGAGTTGTGGGCAGCAGGTGAGTACTGTGAGTTGAGCTAGGCGGGTGGCCTACATTTACTTCTGCCATATGCAGAGTGAATATGCAGAACTGTAATCTGCATTATGCTTTTGACAGTATCTAATGTTTTGGGGACTGGTGCTTCAGCTCTGATGTAATCCTTCGAATCCCAGGAAGTCACAGCCTCTCTCTCGAGGCTCCATCCCAGATGGCAGTGCAGAGCATTACTTCTACCATTCTATCTCTATCCGGCTCACATTAAAGATCAACATGTATAGGATATCAGGGAAACACGTACGCCACCTTCAAAGACTATCACCAGCACCTCAGCTAGACCAATAGACATTGCTTAAGGCCAATTGTAAAGATAAAGATAAGCACTAGCCAGCTCTGTATATATCAATACAAGGAATTAGGGTCAGGCTCAGTCAAAATAGAGACCATCCCTCTTCTTTCAAGGAGAGCTGCTTAGGTGGTCCTCCACAGTAGAGCACTTCAGAAATCCCAGAATTCAGGAGGCTGAGGTAGGGGAATTACAAGTTCTCGGCCATCAGAGTTTAGTCAGCAATGTAGAGAGACTCTTGGCTCCCAACAACACCAACAAACCTTCCATATTTGTGTGTATGAACCTTGTACTCTTGAGTAACCTCAGTATCAGTAAACCATATATAAATATGTTGAGTCCGTGTAGATATCTAGAACAAAGAGAAGCATTGTATATGCTGGGCTTGGTGGCCATACCTGGAACTCAGCTCTCAGGAGGCAGAGATTAGCAGACTGCCAGAGGTTCTAAGCCAGCCTGGAGAACCTAGTGAGTTCTACAGGCCAATGTAGGCCACCTACTGAGAGCCTATCTTAAAAAAAAGAAAAAAGAAAGAAAAAAGCATTGGAAAACCTTAACTTAGCATAAATGCCCTAGTTTGCCTTTCCCCTTCAGACTTAAGTGTCTCTTCACTCACGATTTTCTGTTTAAGCCTTACTGCTCTTTTAACTTAGGTCTTCTTTCTCCTCAACATTCAGTGGAGGCGCAGGGCCCCTGTATTCTTGCTCTCCTCAGTCTACCCACAGCCATTGCCATGTCCCCAACCTGTCAATACTGTCTGTCTTTACCATCAACTTTCTTTTTTTCTTTCTTTCTTTCTTTCTTTCTTTCTTTCTTTCTTTCTTTCTTTCTTTCTTTGAACAGGGAATGAAACTCAGGATCTTGCCCTGTAAGGTAGGTGCTTATGCCTCTGACCTATACATTTTTATGAGTCATTGATTAGCTGCTTCAAGCAAAGTAAGCACAATAGCTTACCACTGCCATGATCAGCAACAGTGAGGTCCTGAGCCTCTCCAGTTATGAGGCAAGGCAAGTTTCCCTCAGAAAAGCCAATGTGACAATCTTCTCCATGGGTCTGAGCAGTACACCATCTTTCCCCCTGTAACCAGGAAGCGATGCTCAAGATGAGCACCAGAGCTCCACCAAGTTCACTGGGAGAGCCAGCAAGACAAGGCCCTCCAACAGAACAGCCCAAGAGAATGAGCAGCATCCAACAGCTCCAACAGCTTCTCCAGACAGCATCTCTCACAGTGTTCTGGCAGCTTCTCCTGTTCTGCCTTTCTGTTGCTGGTAATGGTCCTCAGGTGAGACTCATGCACCCAGCACCATGCTAATTGAATTCAGTTGGGTGTAAGACGTTGCCCACCAGTTTACTACTCACTATATGGATATTGGCATATAGTGCTAGCAAAAGTGAAAAATTTAAACATTAACTGTAATTTTCAAAAAAATCGATCTAAATTAGTAGTATAATCATCTCAGCTATCCTGTACATAGTGCAAGAACATGAAAGAATAAATGAAATCTGAAAGGTATAATGACTATAGTAACATGGAAAGAAATTGAATATCAGGAATAGACAAAGAATGTAAAATTTTAATGGTCACATGAAAAAAAAAATGTCCTGTTTGTGAAGTGAGGGAGCTCAGATCAGAGGGGAATGGTTGTGCCGGTCACAGGAGAAGGCTGCTCACCTCATGCTGTTTTCACTGGAATTTGAGACTATGTGAGTCAAAATTTTTTTAAGAGTTATGAAATCTTTAAATACAAAGCAAGATGATAAGTAGTGAGGATTAATAACCTTGCTCTTCTAGTTTTACTCTTCCCGTGCTCTTCCCTTTTTCCCCACAGACAGATGGTGCGAGTCCTGAGATCTCCTCTCCTGCTGCTGTTGGGACTATTGGCACTACCGTGTTCTCTTCGGGCTCTAACCCCTTTTCAAAAGTTCCAAATTCAGCATGTACAGCCAAACCCTCACCCATGTGACCAGGCAATGATTGCTGTCAACAGCCTTACAAAGAGGTGTAAGCCTACAAATACTTTTCTGCATGACGCTCTCCAGAATGTGATTGATGTCTGTAAACTGCCCAATACTCACTGCAAAAATGGCCAGTACAACTGCCACCGAAGTGCCACTCCTGTGAGTATGACTGACTGCAAGTACATTAGTGGCCAGTTTCCTAACTGCCACTACTCTGATACTCACATCACCAAAAACTTCATTGTGGCCTGTGACCCACCTCAGCCCTGGGACCCTCAAGATGCCCTGGTTCCTGTGCACTTCGATAGATATGTCTACAATTTTGATCAGTTTGTGTCTGTCTTGACAGGCCGTTTCTGTCACAGTTTCTTCTGATTTTTCTGTTTCTCTCCCCTTCCTTCATCATCTCCCTTTTGGATTTTCTTTTTCCCACAAAAAAAAGAGTGGAGGTATTGGGAGAATTAGAGAACCAGAATACTGTAGCAGACCTGGGACTGAATGTAGAGGTGAATAATTCCTTTGTGCTTGGAGATCTGTCTGTGTTGGAGGCAAGCAATGTGGAAAGGGGGTAAAGCTCTGGGCCTTTGTCACTTTTGCCAACCCTCATTGCACTGCATTCTCTGCAATAAAACAACTTCCTACTCCATTCAAGTGAGTGCGACTCTGTTTATCACCTTTGAAATGACCTTCTTCCTGTTTTCTAAGAGCGTTTTTTGTTCCTAGGTTCCAGTAATACTGCATGGTAGGTCGGAGATGGATTCCCGAGTCTTGGGTATATCAAGGGCAGAACAGCAAGTTTATATGCAGTGGCAAAGGGAAAAGCAGCTACATTTTTCTTTCTTTTATGGTTGTTTTGTTTCATTGTGTTTTATATGTGTTTGGAACAGGGTCTCACTACCCAGCTCGGACTCAGTGATTCTCCTGTTTCCAGCCTCCTCAACACTCTGACTACAGGCGTATGCTACCACACCTGGTCTCTGTAGTGGGCTCAGCACGCCCAGGTTCTGGGCCAGCGTGCAGTGTGGTGCCAGGGATCTGACAGCAGTCCCTGCCATTGCCTAAGCAGGTATCTAGGCTGCTGAGCTACCTAGCCAGCCCTCAACTATATTTTTTGAAGATGAATAAAGATGTGCTCAGGTGGCAGAAACGGAAAAGGGGTGTCAGGGTGACAGGAAAGTAAAATGCACAGGGATACATCAGGCTTGGCATTTTATAGGATGTGCCCCCCAGACCAGGGATCTCTCTGGGTCTCTGGGTAAGACTGACAACAGTGATTGACAGGGGGCTGAGTCATCTCTGAGGAATAATTCCTGCTTGGGTGTCCCAGAGTTCACTCTGCATACATTATGTATAGGAAGTTCAGTCCAAGTCTGTGAACTTTCAAAGAGGTTTAAAGCAGTGAACAGTGGGGGGGGGGGAGAGGACATTCCTGAAGGTCAGGGCACTGTCTAGTGAGCCTGCCCTCTGCCTGGGGCTGTAAACATTGTCTGTACCTGTGTTGTCTTTCTCCTCTTCTCTCAGAGCAGTTTAAGAATGGATGGCCTGGGCTGCTGCCCACATTTAGCTGGTAGGGTGGGGAGTGATGTCTACTCCAACACTCTGCCTGCACCACCTGAGTCTCCTTGAGATCCCCCTTAGAGCGCAGGCAACTCCTTTGCCCTGTATCTCTGTCAGTGAAGCCCAGCAGTCTTCCGATCCTTCACTCCGCTCATGATTGTTTATGTGTCCCATGAACACAGTGTCCCTTCTTATTTGGAGGTGAAACAGAGAGAGAGAGAGAGAGAGAGAGAGAGAGAGAGAGAGAGAGAGAGAGAGAATCATCCTTTGTCTTTTATTCTTTGTGTTGTCAGGGTGCTGAAATTAAACTAGGAAAAGGCTATCATACAACCACAATTTTTGTTTGTTTGTTTGTTTTTATTTTTTTAGAAGTTTAGGACTAAATTTGGCTTACTTTGGCTTTAAAGGCACAGTCCTCCTGTCCTGACTCCCACCCTCCCACCGACAGAGATTACAAACATGCCAACTATTCCCAGTAATCCCCAATCCTTTAGTAATTTTTTTGAAATTCTTTTGAAGATGTACAAGCAGTTCACACCAAGAGCTTGAACTGGGAGCAGTCTTTCCTTTTACACTTAGACACAAACTTCACAGTACAAATATTGATGGAAGCCACACAGGCCAAGAAAAGACGTGACCAAGAGATCATTTGTTCTTGTCTTTTCCCTTCTTCTTTTACATCATACAGAAAACGAAATCACGCCTTTACACAGAGCTGCATATCCTGCCCTTATTTTCTATTTTCTATAATGTTGAGACAATAATAAAATGACTTATTGTGTTACTAGCATTCCAGTCTGGGCTCGGACATGCCATCCTCCTGCCTCAACCTCCAGTGTTGGGATGCCAGGCCTGTGCCTCTGCGCCTGGCTTTGTTTTAAAAACAGGGCCCCTCTATGCAGACTGGGTTGGCTTGAGCTGGAATCCTGCCTCAAGCTCAGGGGTGCTGGGCCTGTTTTGAAGACTCATTGGAGGTTCAGCTCTGTGTTTGTGGAGGTAGTGCTGGGCTGGGTGACTCCTGGCTCCTAAATTGAAGAGGGAGACACAGGAAAGGCTGGATGGCCAGCAGGGCACAAGTCCAAAAGGCGATCGTTTTGTGGCTGCACAGCAGTTAGAATGAGGTCGCTGTGTGGGAACAGGGGCTCGAGGCCAAGCCATCTCCTCAGGTTTGCTGGTGGAAAGGAAGCTGCCTGCAGGGCTCTCTCCCATGCTGCCCTCACCTGTGCCCCGAGGCACACGCAGCTGCAGAAATCACCACAGCACAGGCACCCAAGATGCACAGCAAAGCCCAGGGACCTCTTTACGTGTTGTTTTTATGATGTGGGGATGAAGGGGTGACAAAGTCAAACAAGGTGATTGAGGTTGAGAGAAGCCTCAATTCCCCCCCACACCCCACACAGGGGTCTGGAATTCACGCTCACCGGAGTTCCACACCTCTCAGCATCAGCTCTCCTGGGAGGAAAGTGGCCAAAGGGGGATTCTCTGCCCAGACTGAAGGCTGCCCTGGTTAGGAGAAGAAAGGGGCAGAGAGTTAGGAGGGAGGACACAGAGACCTCTAGTGTGTGCCAACCAGTGTGACCAATTGCAACATCTACTTGTCCAGTGCTGTGCATCAGAGTGAGGTGGCGAGCCTTGGACACTTCTTATCCTGCGAGACCACCAGTCCTGCAGGTCATACCTGGGAGAGGGAATAAAGATGAACCCAGGACAGGCAGAAAAGTTTGGACGTTCACACTGACGGCTGTCCCTGAAATGGAAGATTTAGACTGTCAGGGAGATTCCTTGGAAGGATTTACCAGGCAGAATTGTAAAAGTATGTGCTCAGGAGTAGGGTGTGGGCGTTGGGCAGTGAGCTGCACTATTTCCTGGCAGTGAAAACATTCATGCTCCTCTTGAGTTCGTGGAAACTCCAACAAAAGGTGGTCCATTGCTCCTGAAAGGAACTGCCCATTTTATAGGAATGAGCTCACTTTTTCCTTTGGTACCATGTTCTTTGAGGTTTTTTGGTGGTGGTCATAGTTCTTAGTTGTTTTGCATTGATTTGTTTGCTTGTTTTTTGTGCATGGTCTCATACTCAGCTCTAACTGGCAGTGATCCTCCTAATTTCAGCCTCCCCAGTGCTGGTATTACAAGTGTGTGCCACCATGCCCAGACTTCCCTGCGGGCTTAGCACACCTGGGGCGGGGCTGGCACACCATGTGGTGCTAGGTATCGAACCCTGGTCCCTGTGCTTGCCTAAGCAGGCACTTAGTAGGCTAGCTATCTCACTGGCCCATGCTTTTTTATTTTTATTTTTTTTCAGAACCAGGGATTGAAGTCAGGCTCTTGTGCTTGCCTGGCAAGCACTTATTCTACTGAGCCATCTCCCTGGCCCTTGGCCCATGCTTTGGTAACATGTTAATAAGCATTTTTTGAATTCTTTCAATGAGCTCCTTTGTCTTAGGATTGGGTTGCTGCACTTCATCAGGCCAATTTATAGAGTTACAATATTCTGAGGAATGTGGGGTGTGGAGAGTCAAAAAGAATAAAGCATTACAGGTTTTCAAAGGAATGCTGGTGTGGACCACTTTGGGAACTTAGGCTGGATCCCGGCATTTGCAGTCTTTTTACTTATTAGTACAAGTTTATGATGAATAATGATTCATTCCCAGGGAGGATTATAGATGATAGATAGATAGATAGATAGATAGATAGATAGATAGATAGATAGATAGATAGATGATAGATAGATAGATAGATAGATACATAGATAGATAGATAGATAGAATAATATAAAGATATCGAGGGAGACATACTAATTCTTATCCATAGTCCTACCTTCTGCTCCCACCTTCATCCATCTCTTGGTCTCCTTACAATTGGCCAATGCTCTTTCCTCCTGGTGAGTGTAATCTGTCTTTTTGGTACTCTCTTTTATATTCTAACTTTCTTCTATGAGAAACCCTGTAATATTTATGTTTGTGTGTCTGATTTTGTGCCCTTAGCATGACCTCAAAGAGCATTCTTCTTCTCAAAATGACTTCTCTTTGGTAGAGGACCTGTGTATAGATTCCACCTTTCCTTCTCCTGATGGACATACAGGGTGGCTCCAAGACTCAGCTGCTATGGAGTGTGCTACTGTAAGCACAGATATGCACGTGTCATTGTCTCCACTCTTCACAGAAATCCCTAAGTGGGGAAGAGCTGTGCAAATGAAATTTCCACTTTTGACTGTTTTGAGGCTCTCTGCACCCATTTCCACAGTGGCTGTAAGACTTGGAGGACAGTGATGACTTCAGCTTCTGGTGCCCTTGTGTTTGAGGGAAGAGGCTGTTTGTTCCTCAGTCACCTCCTAGAGATGCATATGTCACAAGCTTCTGTGCCAGTTAAATCACTCAGGTAACTGCTCCCATAAGTAAAGCTCCTTATATCAGGGCTGTCAACATCTGGTCCTCGCGATCAGGCCTACTACAGAACACTGTTCTATAATTTTCACACAAAAGTGAACTAGAACATCTCATTTTCCTGGGGCTTAAAGCAAGGTGACTCAATTTAAAATCCGACAGATGTTGAGAGTACTCTCTGGAGAGTCTACTAGGAGGACCTGAAATTTCAGTACTTTTCCTCCAGTGAGCTCCTGCTGTCCTTTGATTTCAAAAACATTCTGAACTGACAGGAGGTTTTGAACTCCAGTGGCTGTGCCAGAGGCGATTTAGTGCACTTGTCAGCGTGGGATGCTGTGGCAGCCACATGCCATATACAGCTGGGCATCCACATGACACAGTGTTTAACTGTTTAAGAATGAAAACCACCATTTAGCTTATAGGCTTTGAGTAAGG